AGACAAAATTGTTAACCCTGTGCAACAAGCACTTTCAAAGTTTTTCATGAGATAATTTGTCTTTAATAGTGTATCGATGTGCTAGTTCTTTTACTCTCTTAACTGCTGATAAATTCCCTACAACCCCGACTTAGTGATTTTTGTGCATTCTAGACGGACAAATGTGGTCATGTTCGAATATTTTTCATATTTTTCTTTGCTTCAGCAAATTAGAAAGTGCTTCTGCTTTGGGGTCCGAACCAGTAGTGCAAACCCGTTAACCTCGGATGACTTTGATGGTCATAGTTGCGTGCACTGTTAAGCTGTAGATTTCGATGCTTGTGGTTCTCATCTGCAAATCATCACGGGACCAACAACAACGACAACAACTCACTTCGGTGCGTTTTTCTGACCGGTTAAACCATCTTGCGGAATGACCCACTAAATCAATATGCCACCACCATACATCGGTTTATCCGCTTGCGCACAATTGTCCCTCTAGACTGTATCGACTAACATCCTCGATTGCTTGCATGTGGGTACAAATGAACTGACACATTTGAGTTAATCAGGTCATTCAGCTTAGTCGGTAAGAAACAGTCGTCCTTTTGTTTCCGGTTCGCAAAGTATCTCTCCCCCTCTCTCTCTCTGTCAAGCACAAAAAACGAGATATAAGAAATCCTGTTAACCTCGTCGGTTGCCCTTTGTGAGAATTCAAACGGCTTATATTGAGCCGAGGACACATCGAATTGGAGACCGCGAAAATGTGACTAAAATTTGAAAGAATTCTGCTGTTTATCGTTTTGTAGAAAATGAAATTGAGGCAGTTAGCAGCGTCCGTGCAAGCCTAATTGATTCTTTGACAGGCTGCCTCCAGGAAATTTCTATAGTGGGTTTGAAATACTCGTCACGGCTTGGTCGAGCGGATAATGTCGTGATCAAGAAGAAGAGAAAATAATATACGTTGAATGAAATCACGGAGAAATACTCACCTAATTAAGACTCATGCTTTGTGCTTTGAGCATTATCTTCTCTGTTGTGTTGTGAAAAAAATTCTGAGATCATTTCATATCATGATTTATTATTTCATAACCTAAGATTTGGGTTATTTTGGTTGAATTGGGATCACTGTTGTTGAAGTAGGTCCGTATACATCAAGTGATATCGACTAGAACATGCTGGAAGAACCTTTCCGTCCGGTCGAACTCAGCACAAATGGCATTAGCCGGCGATGCAACTGATTTAAACCGATGACAACTAGCTCGGAGAGCCTATGAGGTTAGCACGCGGCGGATTGACATCCCCTGGGATCGATTCTTGGTTTATTCGGTGATTGTACACTGCAAGTGGTAACTGTCGTGGATGAGCCAAATGTTCAGTGTTTTTTTCGGTGATACGTCTTTTTAATAGCTAGTCCGCCTATACCGTTTCGTTTTGAAGTTACAGTTCGGTGAAACAGTTTCTGTGTCTACTTTGTGTCCTGCATAGGGGCTTACGATATCCTTTTTTTTACAATAATCTTAACTCCACTCTGTGAAATTACTCGCTTTTGCCTCAATCGCTCTGAGAATCGGTATGTGTGGGCGCAAATGGCTATCAATTCCGTCAAAGTTCAATCATACTTTCATCCGCTAACTTAAGCAATCTTTCGATTGTTTAAGTGTTTGTTAGATCCTACTAACCAGCAGTATATATTGTGTAGCGCTAGTCCCCTTTCCACCCACACACGATCGCCTCAGTGTCAGTGAAAAATGAATTCGTCTGTGAGCATAAACATAAAATATTGCACTTATGATTGACTATCCCAATTACTGGCCTCATCCAAGCGTGAAATCCCACGCCTGGCGATTAAAGGTAATTTGATTGGCATCGCTTTGCACCCATGGACAGATTTAAAATGAAAAAAATGCGGCATTTTCACTGGCACCTGTTCGCAGACTGTTCTCATGCAATAGATACGAATGCGTTGTTGGAGCGTTGGTGTGTCAGTTCACCCATCACTCAAATGATTCAGTCAAGTGAACCGTGTTGTTGCATATCGTTTCTCCGGATGACACGTTCCGACGAACTCTATCAAGGTTATATTGTTTCGACAAGATTTTCAGGTGCATCATTACCAGACAACATTTAGGCAAGTTGATGTTCTGTCCAATCAATTCGTCATTTCCTAGGATAATGCAAAACGCTCTTTCTATTTTTGATTTAGAGAAAAGTGTTCGCTCGCTTCTTTTTTTTCTCTCACCGTGCAAGGAAATGATTGTCAATTTCTCCGATTCTACCACATATCTGCTTTATAGTTGATTTTTCATTATAGTTGTAACAAGAGAACAAATTTTCATGGTAGTCGGTAGGGTACCGACCGCGGCAGTAAATACCTGAGCATTTCACTTGAAGGTAAATGAGATATTCACGACCCACTGGACTACGCTTCCCAATCGGGCTCACCACTGATTTGTGTCACATTGTCTTGGGGGTTGGACTGTGTTTATAAATCTGAGCAAGTCGCCCGTGCCGCGATTTTCGATTTTATGGTCTGTTCAAGTCCGCGCTGTGTGAGACTACCAGTACTGAACCTGAACCAATAATGAGTGATTGATCAAGCACTGTTCCACTTTCTTTCAGTCAAGCATTTTTCATTTTGTTACTCTCTTCTAATTTACCTCATTTCACTGAATATACAATGATCTAGATTTTCAGTAAGGGAGAAGAAACCAATCACCACGGTGTCATACATCAAACAGAAAACGGGATAAGTCAGGAGCTGATGGTGGGATTCGAGAGCACATCCTCTGGGACGATAAATGGAGTAACTTCATCGATTAGCAATCACTACTGGCTTTCTTTTCGCATATATATTCGCTACACTGAATGAGGTTGACAACCACGAAGAAGCACTGCCAGTTTAGTAATACAAAGTATCATCGTACTTGAAAAGAATTGATTTTAAATATTCGAAATTTGTCGTTATGATTTAGGTCTTATACGATTCTATTATCCGTTGACTATTTGTCCTTCTTTAAATGCTTCCCCGCTTGCCCTCTTTCTCGGATAATTTGAAACAGAATCTAAATCGATTTTCTGGGCGTCCTTGCACATGTTTGACGAAATAAACTGATCGTGCATTTTAGCGTGAAGGGTGAAGTAAACATTCAGTTCGTGGTTGAAGGTGGAAGACCTGCGTAATGGAAACGTGTAATGTGTTTGATTCCCGACAATAGATTCTTAAGAAGCTAGAATTTAGTGAGTGCTACACTGATGAAGTAATGAACTACAAATGCCTTGCCGTGAAACTGAGGTCTAAAATCATAGAGTTAATTAAGCTGTGGTTAATTCCTAGTAATTTTTTTGCTTTGCAGAGTGCTATCTATCATCAGCACCCTGATTTTTATTAATATTATCCCATTTTTCGTTGAATATGTCTGCGAACACCGATCAAATCTGAATCGCTGACACCAATTGGATATCAACTACTTTTTTTCACACTTTCCCGCCGCACACACGCATCATCTTATTTGTAAACTTTCATTGCATTTCAGTTATCTCCTCCAACTCCTACAAATCAGAATTTGACCACCAACTACTCTTGAAGTCATAAAGTCCTTGCAAATGCATTCCCTCTTTATACTTTGCATCGAGGGCATTTTTCTGCTCACTGTTTATCTCTTCCTATTCACTTTAATAATCATATCGGAATAGAAATTTGTTTTTGAACTGTGAAAATCTGAAGCGGCGAACTCCACCTCCCGTTCGGCGTGTCTGCATTTCCCGCCGCGCCCCTATCCACTATTCACTGAATTGTCTTTTTCTATCTTTTCATATTGCCTCAAGCCAACTTTGAATCTGGAAATCCGTACATATCCCGTTAAAAACAGCCACCCAATCGAAACAACTCGGTTCCCGAGACGTATCCGATTCNGAGCAGGGGGGGGGGGCTAATCACAGTGTTTAGTGAGTGGAGAACAACAAAACAAAGTAACTTTCCTCTACTACTCATCCAACTGGTTAAGCTGTCAAATGAGACCAACTTCAACCACAGTCCCGGTTACGAGGTTTGTTTCGTCGAGACCTGAACTGCGCGCGGATTGTTGCAACTCACTAAAGATGGATACATTAGTCCGGCAAGAGATAAAGAGATTANATGCGAGCGAGTGAGATGATCTCGATCGGAAACCACATTCGCTATCAAAATCAATAAACCATTCATCATTTTAGCCGAACTTAATGTGCGAAACATACAGTTGGTACCCAGTGGGGGCTTGAAGAGGTGAAATGTAGACAATTATAGTGCTATTATGCACTGGGATACTAATCACTGAAGGACAGGCGATACTGCCGTCATCTTAGCTCAAGGAAAAATTCCAACTTGCTGTTTTGAGTGTCAAATAATCTCCACTGTTCAAGATTAGAATGCAACGGAATGAACATGAACGTGACAGTAAGCCACTTTCATAGATTCACTTTACAAAACTATCTTCCTAAATCGATTGTGAGCTTGTTGAGAATGCCTGAATTAGAAGAGAGTCCAGTTTGCACTGTGATTCAGTTGGAGCAAAATTGTATATCCGGATATCAATATCACTCCATTTGTGAATCGATCTTGAGAAGGTGTACGGACGACAATCGACACACTGACTGGATACAGTTGCTTTTTTCAACACTGTATTATTGAATGCTCCAATTTTCCGTCTAAGATATCCTACAGCACTTTAGTCTTTTCTGTACATTCACAGTTGAACTTTTTCCCGCCACGGTAAAAAAATATTAGTGTAGTTTCGTCCATGTTTCTTTTTCGAGGACCGGACTGATTCTACAATAAGCTCAACCAGACAAGCTATCTCCTTCTACATCATAACTATTCACCGTCTGTAGTTTACGTGTACATCAGGGACAGTGTTCACATTTCGTCAACTATGGTTTGTAATAAGCAATGTAACCTAAAATGCGTTAGTGCGCGAATTTCATTAGCCAACCGAAAATCTCACCCCAGAGATCATCTTTTTAAGAGGATGGATTTTCACAAATGACTGTTTATTCAAATGTTTAAAAGGTCCCACGGAGCTCATAATGAGAACACGAATTGGCAAAGAAGCTCGTTTTCAGTGTGTCTTAATCATGCCATTACAACACAATAAATATGACTAGTATCAAAGAAGGATTTACAAGGAAAAAGAGAGGGAAAGTAATTAAAGTATTCAAGGGTTTGTTTCATAACTGGTCCCCAATTATCACTTGCTCCGATGTTGCATAACAAGTCACTTGTCGGCGATTCGGCCATGGGAGCTTGACTGTTTATTCCCTCGATTCATGGAATAATGCTCAATACGGGTGATTTTTCTGTCGTTCAGTCCATCGGAGAAGATAGCCACACGGTACTGAAACTTAACGGTCTAGTCTTGGTCCACTATTCAACCTGCGAAACCTGTAGCCTCAATACTTTTTGC